GTGCCCTACAGGGCAGGCTCTAGGACCGCGGAGGCCATGGGCGGCGGTGGCGGCGCGGCCGGAAGCGGCGCGCTGGGCGCGCCAGTTCAAAAGAGCGCCGGGGAGCCAGGAGAGGGGGAGGAAGCGGGGGCCGTATTAAATCAGAACACGGGCCGCAATTGGCCCGCGGGCCGGACTTTGGACATGCCTGCCCTAGATCCTTCATGGAAGCGATGAACTGTGGCTCTCCTCCCCAGGTGCTGCATGGGCAAGGGCTGCCCACTTTGCTGCAGCAGTGAAACCTCCTTCAAAAGAGCGCCGGGGAGCCAGGAGAGGGGGAGGAAGCGGGGGCCGTATTAAATCAGAACACGGGCCGCAATTGGCCCGCGGGCCGGACTTTGGACATGCCTGCCCTAGATCCTTCATGGAAGCGATGAACTGTGGCTCTCCTCCCCAGGTGCTGCATGGGCAAGGGCTGCCCACTTTGCTGCAGCAGTGAAACCTCCTCCCCAGAGACAGGCCAGCTGGCAACCCTGCTTCTGGGGAGGCTTTGTTGAGGGCTCTGCTATATAAAGCTAAGCTTTATACTGCAGAGCCCACAGCACCAGTAACTGCGTTACTGGATTAAACAATTTTTAACATCCTTAGTCACATTCAACCCAGCTGGAAAACACTGAAGACTGTGGGTGAGCTAAACTTACTAGAAAATATTTTGTTAGTAAAGTCTAGGCTCTAGAATGCATGTTATGATTTTATTTAACACTCAACCATTTGTTTCCAGTACCTTACTTGCTACTCCTCTAACTTTTATTGTTGTTAAATAAACTTTGCTAACTTTCACTAAAAGCATACCTAAATGCTATGCCACTTTTATAGTGAAGGTCCAGCACCCTTGGTCCAGCACCCTTGGGACCTGACCAGTCCCAGATGAGGGATTTTGCCAGAGCAGGGGAGATCATTTCTGTCCCCCCTGCCACTAGCTCCCTCCAGCACTGGCTCAATCACAGGCCTCTGAGCTAGCTCCCCCTCTCACTGGCCCTTGCTGCCATGCCAGGCAACCATACTGTCTCCGTGCATACCAGGCTCTTGCTGAAGTGCCCAGCAGCCCTGCCACCTCAGCACACACCTGGCTCTTGCTGCAGCACCCAGCAGTCTCTGCATGCCCAGCTCCTGCTGCCCTACTGGGCAGCCCCACTATCACGCGTGGGACTCCCAATGCCCTGCCAGGAAGCTCTGCTGGTGTGCATCGGGTTCCTGCTGTCCTGCCAGCCTGCAGGGCTCCCAAGTGCTAGATCTCCACTGGGACTCTCTGGTCCTGGAACATACGCGGTCCTGCTGGACCACAGATGTTGCCAGATCAGAGATTCCCGGTTAAGAGAGTTTCAACCTGTAGAAAGCTGAAGGGTGCTGTTTCTTTGTGAGCAGTGAATCTGTGGGAGAGGGTCTGGACACTCCAAGGGAAGATGAGAAGGCTGGAGAGTACTTACTGCTAACTTGCAAAAGGACAGCAGAGACTGTGCAAGGGAAGAGGCGAGTGTTTATGTTGCCAGGGAAGTTTGGGAGTTGTCTCTAGGCAGACACACACACAGGGCAGGAGTTAGTGAGGTACTTCACAATTGTGGATACCCCTGAGAAGCATCAGTGTTATACACACTACTGACTCAGTTCTGCTGCACGATGCCAAGAACTAAAGACCTAACAGCCTAGATAAAGATTTAAGCACCTAACTATGCAACTTCATTTTAGAAATGGTGAGCAACTAGCAGTTCCCAGTGAACTCAAGGGAACCTAACTGGTTGTTCATCACTTTTGAAAAAAAACAAGTAATTTAAACCACAAAATCCTCAGAAAATAACTTTAAGAATAGTTTTTAAAATCTTGGCATGAGTCATTCTGCCTGAAGTATAGGTGCTGTTGGATGATCTTCCCCCATCTATAGTTGAATTTGGAAGATATTTGATGATGGATTCATTAAACAGGTTCATAAAAACTATCAACTCTATGCAGATATCATTTAATCCTTGGGAAGGTTCTATGTATTAAATACAGAAACTATTTGATAACTTGTTTACTATTCAGATATACATGTATGAGTCAATACTACCTTGCATTTCTTACAACAATGTAGATTTAAAATGCAATTTTCAAAGAAAACCCGTGAATAATATGGAAATCATGTGACTGAGTCCCTTTAAATCCAATATCTAAAAATGTGACACTAAGAGTTTTTCTTGGCTCTGCTATGGAAGAGCACAACAGAATCTTTGTTATGCTCTCAGCAGTGCTACTTATATGCAGTGACACTCCTAAAGACTGCTCTGTTGGTGTTCTTCCACAAGCTCACAAAAAAAATGGAAGCAGCAATTATTAACTTTAGCCGAGATTCTTGTAAGAGAACAAGTCACAGTAATTATATGAAAAACATTTTTTTATATAATGAAAACAAGGTCACACTGTTACTGTAGAAATGTAGATGGCAAGATAAGGTCCTTCTGTAATGCACTAGCTGTAGAGAACTCAGCTGTGATTTACACATAGAGAGCTCATTTATGCATTTCCAAGGGAAGCAAAAATGCTTCTCACTCTGAAAACTAGGAGAGTTACTGCAGCTGGAAGGGGGGAAAAATTGAGGAAGGGCCTCTTACAGAGAAGGGTATTTAAAGGGTTATGAAGGTTTTGTATGTATCTAGGGATGGGAAAACCAAGAAAAGCCTTTTAGTTTTGTCAGAAAAGACTTAATAAAATGTAAGACCAAGACAAATGTTTTCACAAATGTTGTTTGCAAGTTTCCAGTTTAAAAACTTTAAGTTTGCAATGTCTAACAACCCAGATATTACACCAATGTGAACCTCAAAATAAAATGTGATGATAAATAACCTGAAGATGACATTAGTGTCTTACTTTGTCTGAGCCAAAAGAATTGTGAAAGCAAACACAATACTGAAAAATAAATTTATGAAAATTTCAATTTTAATAATTTAATTTACTGGATCAAAGGACAAGAAAGTTATAATCTATTTTTGAAATGCATAATGAGATAATCCACCAATAAAAACAACCTATCTCCCATTCTTCAGTGAGTGAAGAGCAGGAGTCTTCTCTAGGATAAGACCATTTCAGTAATTCTGCCTCTTAATGGTAGCATCACAAACTATGGCATTAAACAAACAAAAAAACCACACTTTGGGCAAAAGTAACTGTCTACTGAACTAAGATCTCACCTGTACATCCAGTGCCCAACACTTCCTGCTATTGTACGTGCTCTAATTTGACATAGTACTTGGGCTGAGGACTTTAAGAACAAGAGACTGTAACAGGTATACAAGAGCTAACAAAACTAAATGGGATACCAATAGAAAACTTGTTATTTATATACAAAGGAGGAACAGAGTAAATGTTACAAAACCCTGAAATATCAATACTGTTACAATTTAATTTAAATCAAGACTCGGCAAGTAAATGACAGGTTGCGTCTTCTCTTGTGTTTCTACAGCACCAAGAACAAAGGGTGCCTTTGAGCACTAAAATATAAAATGAAACTATAACAAAGCTTCAGAACTGTTTTTGAAAAATACATTGCCTCAACTACATAAGCATGTTGTTTAAAATATTTTGTCCATTTGGCAACAATGAATGATAACACTGAATGATAACTGAAGTCCTACATTTTCTGAAGAGTCAGGATACCTGTCGCACATTAGTTGCAATCCATTCAATCCATTCCTGAAACCCCACTCACACCTGGTTTCCTCATTGATTAGTACAGACCAAAATCTTATCAGACCCACTTCCTCATTGTAAAGCCTCTCCTTGTGACACCCCTGTATGTGTTTCAATATTTTAAATCCTCCTTATGTAAGCTGTCCCACCCAGAAAGCATTTCCTGAAACTAAGTTGTTGAGACACAAAAAATGCTGGGTCTAGAATGACACCTTGCTCCCAAACAGCAGGCTACACAATTTTTAATTTCTTTCCGTTTCCATTGTGAAGAGTATTCTAATCTGTGCTCCAGGGCAGTGACCACACTAAACGTTAGTCTTATTCCTTCAAAGCCCACTCACCCCCTTATCTCCTACCCATCCGCATTATTACTTCCAGTACCAGCGCCATTCTGCAGCCCTAGGTTATAAGCACTCCAGACCTCGTCCCCCCTCCCCACCCTACCTCTAGAGTCCCACCATTACCCCACATGGTTTTGTTTTCTGCCTCCAACCCCTCATGCTTTCTGCACCCTCCCTCCACCCTACGCCGGGCCGCTGGCAGCAGGACCCACTTGGTCCCCCAGACTTGCTTGCCAAGGCCCCAGCTCCCGCCACCAGGTACCGACAGCCGCCAGCGCCCGCCTACGCCGGCCCCCCAGAGCTCCATGCCCACCCGGACCTAGATCTGTGCCGCGCACCCCGTCCCACCTCACTGGCAAGCACCCACAGGATCGACTCCCACTGCTGCGAGTCCCAAGCTCCCACAGGGCACAGGCATCCCACGCCCCCCTGCTCCAGGCACCTCGCTGTAGCCCGGTCCCCGCCCCGCACTCACCCAAACTCCACCACCAGGGACATGGGCGCCGCCATCTTGAAGGAGGGGACACACGCTGTTCAACCCGGAAGTGCATCTTCATTTCCGGATAACTAGGGTTGCGCAGAGACGCGGAGGTCCTACCTTTGTGGGCGGGGATCCGGGTTGGGGGGCGGAGCCAGGCTCAGTTTGCAGAGGCCGGGCATCGCGAGTTTAAACCAATCACATGGCGGCCGCGGGAGCTGAGTCCCGCCTCCGGGGCCTGTGATGTGTTTGGAGCTGGAACTTTAAGGGCGCCTAGAAAGCTGCGGTACCATCGCCCCGCCCCTAGGAGGATAGAACATCTGGCCGGGGGGGGGCGAGGGGCTTCTGGCTGGGAGGGAGGATGCAGAAGGGGATGGGGAGTCTGGGGCCGAGGGTGGGTGCAGGACTGGGCTAGGAGTGCGGGGTCTGGCCAGGAGGGAAGGTGCAGGAGCAGGCTGTGAGTGTGGAGTGTTGGCAGGAGAGGGATGGAGGGTGTTTACCTGGCTCCTAGACACTGCCCTCCGCTGCTCCCATTGGCCTGGATTCAGGTGAGCAGTTTCCTGCTCTGCCTTTCCCCCAGCGGGGGGGGAAGAGTAGAGGCAGCAGGAGCCATGATCCAGCCTGTGAATCTCCATGCTCCCCTCTGCTTCTCTTCCCCCGCCCCCCAAAAGCGGGAACTCAACACTGGCACTCCATCTTTGTGAGGGGGTGAGCTCAGAGCCCATGGCCCACCTACAGGGAAGTTGCGGACCACTAGTGGTCTATGGACCATGTTTTGACAGCCACTGAGCTAAATCATCCTTGACAGGTGTTTGTCTAAACTGCTCTTAAAACTCTCCAGTGATGACGATTCCACAACCTCCTAGGCAATTTATTCCTGACAGCTAGGAAGTTTTTGCTAATGTCCAACCTAAACCTCCCTTGCTGCAATTTAAGCCTATTGCTTCTTGTCCTATCATCAGAGGTTAAGGAGAATAATTTTTCTCCCTCCTGCTTGTAAACATTCTTTTAGGTACTTGAAAGCTGTTGTGTCCCTTCTCTGGCTTCTCTTTTCCAAACTAAAGAAATTAGTTCTTTCAGTCTTCCTCATAGATTGTTTTGTAGACTTTTAATCATTTTTGTTGCTCTTCTCCAATTTCTCCCCATCTTTCCTGAAATGTGGTGCCCAGAACTGGACACAATACTCCAACTGAGGCCTACTCAGTGTAAAGTAGAGCAGAATTACTTCTCGTGTCTTGCTTACAACACTCCTGTTAGTGCATCCCAGAATGATATTTGTTTGTTTTATTTTGGAAGCGTCACACTGTTGACTCCTATTTAGCTTGTGGTCCCCTATGACCCCTAGATTCCTTTCTGTAGTACTCCTTCCTTGACAGTCACTTCCCACTTTTATATGTGTGAGACTGATCCTCTCTAAGTGGAGTACTTTGCATTTGTTCTAACCTCCAAAGTACTTGCAACCCTTCCCAGCTTGGTATCATCTGCAAACTTTATATGTGTACTATACTCTCTGTGCCATTATCTAAATAGTTGATGAAGATATTAAATAGAACTGGTCCCAAAACTGATCCATGCAGAACCCCACTTGTTATGCCCTTCTAGCATGACTGTGAGCCATTAATAACTACTTTCTAAGAATGGTTATCCAACCAGTTATGCACTCATCTCATAGTAGCTCCATCTAGGTTGCATTTCCCTAGTTTAAGGTCATGCAAGACTATATCAAATGCTTTACTAAAGTCCATGTCTACCATTTCCCCCTTATCTACAAGGCTTGTTATCCTATCAAAGAAAGGTTGGTTCGACATGACTTTTCTTTACAAATCAATGACTGTTGGGTACCTTATTATCTTCCAGATGTTCGCAAATGGATTCCTTAAATATTTGCTCCATTATCTTTCCTGATACAGAAGTTAAGATGACTGGTCTGTAGTTTCCTGGATTGTCCTTATTTCCCATGGCCCTGAGTACCCAATGGCAGAGATTGGAATGTGGGGTACATGGCCCTGGGTACCCAACAGGAGAGCCCCCAATAGGTCTCATTTGTTTCCAGTCTCTATTTCCCTTCTGCAGCCTCTTTGTCCTGTCTATTCCCCTCTGGCAGTTGGCTCCTACTAGTGAGAATGTGCAAACTGATTTCAAAGGCTTGCATCTTAGCCAGGTTGGGACAGATTTTCACAGGGTCACCAAAAGGTACAAAGACTACCCCCTGGCAAATTTCACATCATAGAAGTCAGTGACTTGAGTATTATTAAAGGTTGGACTGATAGCATCCCTCATTATTAAGGTTGCCTGACATTGGACATGATAGGCCCATTTTCAGTTTGCTAAACTTTAACTGCTTGGGAAGAAACTTTGCCTGCTGTATGTCTGCCTCAGGCTGAATTATTTTGGGGAAATTTCAGCAAAATAATTCAGCTAATTCTAAGAACAAGGCTAGTCCATTTCTGGTAACATTCTTTTGACACTTTCTAGGCTGTGGAGCAGAGACTTGAAAGCTTAAAGCTCCTAAGATGCCATGATTCAAAATGGCTCTGCTAAAATCCTCCCCTCCTGCTGCTGCAACCAGGTCACCCCTGCCCTTTCTCCAGATCTTTTCACTGGCTTCCTATCACCTTTCACAGTAAGGGGACCTTATTCGACTTTCCAGGCTCATGCTCTTGGCTGTAGTCTTTGCTGTCATTTCATTTTCGAAGTCAGCCAACAAATGCCACTACTGTCAGCCTTGAGCACACATAATCCTTCTGCAGCACAGCTCCTAGCTAAACCAATGTTCAGTACAAAACCTGAATCGTTTACAGAGGGCTTAGGAATTTTTCTGAATGGAGATGGGCCAGGACAAAACCTGAGATCCAACAAGCCCTTGAAATACCTCTTCAGCAACAGTCTGCTTCTTAGTAACACAATGGTAAAGAACTGTGTCAGATACTTTCCACGAGTGAGCTCAGACTGACCATCCTACCATCCATCTATCTGGTTGTATTCTCAGTTTTAACAGGAAAATAGGAGAGTCTAGAGTTTATCAGACTAGTCCAGTCTCCTGTCACCAGCAGATGCTGTGAAAGAATGTGTGAATTTGCATGTCATAAAGGTCTTGGTAAATCAGCCTTCTCTTTTGTATATGTTAATAGTTCACTGAGCACCATAATACTGAGCGCCTTCTAGTGATGCGTTAAGGAACTTGGCTAACATCTGTCGTGTTCTTTCTTTCCTACACACAGCTCTATGTTTATGTGTCAGAAGGCAAGGTCAAAGAAATGTGCCTTTCACTTGGAGCAGAAATTGGTGAGGTTTGTGATGGTCCTTAGTTCCTGGAAGGGTCCATTCCACAGCCTGGACTACCACCACCCACCCCCAAGAAAGTTCTGTCTCCTGCACAAACATGCTTCACCTTTATGCTAGAGAGTGCCACTATACCAGAGGAGTGTAATTATTGACCATGGTATTTATCCCAGTGTTGATCTTCAAGGCTAGGTCTAGACTGTGGGCCATTATTGGAAAAAGCTACGCAAATTGCGCACTGCAATTTGTGTAGCTTTATCCCGTCACTTTTGTGGAAGAGGCTTCTCTGCCATTTGGCCCAGTCTAGATAGGGCCAAATGGCAGAAGAGCCTCCTCTTTCGGCTGAGCCGTTATGCCTGATAAAATGAGGTATACAGGGTTCCCCGAAAGAGCGTGTTTGCTCTTCCCCTTTTTTTCGCGGAAGAGCAAACATGTTCCTTGGATGTGACTGTAGTCTAGACAAAGCCTTAGATACCTTGGACTGTGATTTGAGTATCCTGAGGGTAAGGATCAAGATGTTAAACTTGATTCAATATGCTATGCAAAGACAGATCAGGTGTGTTTGCCAGTGTTGCAGAGTTAGGCCATACTGCACTATACTATAGAAATAATCGTCGGGGCTGTGTGCACGGTCTGGTGCTTTGTATTCCAAGTATTTGTTTATTTGAGTTGCGTTTCTCTTTCACTAGCTATTCTTCGTTTCCAGAGGGAAATTTATGAGACCAAACTAACAGAGCTGGTATTCTGATAGCAACTCAGTTCCTGGATTGTAGGAATATCACAATAACAGATTCATGTGTCAATATCTTTTCATGGCAACTGCACCCAAATAAATTAGTAAAACTATAACTACAGAATTATTTAGACTTGTTCAAGTACCCAGAAAGTGCCCTGGTACAATAGTCAGGACATGTCTACAGAGCAAGGTTAAAGCCAAAATAAGCTACTCAATTTGAGCTACGTCAATTGCATAGCTGAAGTCAAAATAGCTTATTTTGGCTTTTGGTGCTGTCTACACAGCAGGAAGTCAGAGAAAGAGTGCTCGTCCTTGGCCTTCCTTTACTCCTCATAAAATGAGGCATGTCGAAATAATGGCTTGCTGTGTAGATGTGGACTATGTTATTTCGGAATAATATCAGTTATTCCGAAATAACACTGTGGTGTAGATGTACTCACGGACTACTTCAAATATTATAGATTGATTTTAATGGTCATTGTGTGTTTTGAGACATGGCATAGCCTCATCTTAGACCAAACTGGTGAAATCTGAACTGTCCGTGTCTCTTAAAATCTCTTAAATTTGCTAGGGGAAAATTACCTTTCCAAATAAATTGATATCAATCTGTTTATAGAGTGCTGTAAATAGACATGATCCTCAATGAACAGTTGAGTAGGACAAGGTCCCCTGCCTTGAACTTACATAATTCAGAAGCACCAATTCACCGAGTCACAGGTCAAGCTGAGGAATAAGCATCTGCCATACCATGAATTGTTTAATCAGAACTCAGCTTTGCTCAAAAATGTACAGGCAAAATCTTCTGTTCAGTAACCAAGGTACATCTTCCATTAATTTAACTGAGATTGCACAAGATAATAACTCACCCACAAAAGCCCCATTAGCATTCATAGCCATGTAAGTGTTATTGTAGTAGTACTACTCCAGGCTGATGTTATTCTGTTTGTAACAGGAAACAGTCCATGCATGCCTTGCTACAATCTCACTGCTCATTCCAGTTCCCCACCCACAGATTCAACACACCAAACAAAAGATAAGGTCGCAAATATGTTCTCAGCTGGAAAATTTAATCATGTAATAAAAAAGGATTTTGATTCTTTCCTGTGACAGGGTTGGGGTTTTGTGTTTTTTTTTTTTGTTGTGTGTTGTTTTGTTTTTTGGTTTGTTTCTTCTCTTTTCTCTGGAGCGTGGAAGGGAAAGGGCCCCTCCTCTTGATGACAGGGTATACAAGAGAATGGTTTGTGTTTGTTGTGGCATTTTACAGGGAAATTAAGTATATAAATAAGGGATTTACAGTGAGGCCTAGTGCCAGGAGGAAGCATTTT